AATTTCTTTGGTTTGGATTCTTAGGTTCTCAAGAGTCCTACTCCATGTACTTTCTTTCAGGTGAGGCACTGTGCAATTCAGAAGGATATGGTACCTTCTTTTGCTAAAAGGTGGCACTACCACCTGCTGAAATAGTATTTAAAATCTGCTTTGACTTATGTTCTATGCATGGTTTGCTAAATACTAGCATCCCATTTTTAATCAGTTACAGTGCATTCTTAATTTGAACAACTATCCCTTGGCAATGTTTCCATTCAGTTTGTTGGTATGGAGACCCAGGAAGATGGCCAGTAAATCAAAGAAGTTGAAAATATTTGACCTTATATATGGTGCTCGAGATTTATAACATGGTAGTCCTGTCCCAGTTCAGGCCTCCTCAGCCCTGGCCTGCTAGATTGCAGCAGATTCCTGCCTGTGCATATTTGGGTGTTTCTGGACTTGATGAAATGTGTTTCATAACTTTTAGAGTAATTAAAAATTCAAGTAAATAACAGAACACATCACAACAGACACCAAAGCAAGCAGTTATTGGTTAAGGGAAAAATGCCTAGGAAACAGGCCAATGGAGTTCTAAAATATGAAAGTTTTGATATAAATGCCACTTTAATGATTAAGATGGGGGTTTTCAGAATCAAGAGAAAATTTCCCAAATTAACTTTAAAATAACATAAATCTCCCATATTTTTGGTTACATTAAATAACATCATAATAACTAACGTAAATAATAAAAAAATAAAGATAACAGAAGTGTCCTGAAGTTATTAAGAAGATGCATTTTTTTTCTTCTCACATTTTTCCGATATCATTACCAATGTGAGACACTCTGAAGTTTTAACTATAAAGATGAATTATGATAGTTATCTTGTTTGGAGACATTTCATTCAAAGCTCATATCAACAGCTGCTGGTTAAGCACTGATTATGACTTTAAAGGCACCCCCAAATTAAATAGTTTTTATAGTCAAATAGCAATAATACTTACTGAATGTTTACCACATGCCAGGCTCACTTCCAAGTACTTAACATGCACGTGAACTTAATTTTAATGGTCTGATTATTTAATCCCTATTTTTTCAGATGATAAAAAGGAAGCCAAGAAAAGTTAAATAACTTGCCCAGGTTTACCCAATTAATAAGAGAGAGAGCCAGGGTTTGAACTCAGACTGAATGCCAGGGCCTAGGCCACCCCCACTACTTTCAACTGCTCTCTAAAATAATACATTAAGCAATGACAATGCTAACATCTGTAATATAGATTGCATTATTAAACTCCTTTACACAAGGCACCATGGGTGGTTCTGTAGACAATAAGCGATGTAAAAATGCCCATCACTGTTTGTCCCCTTAAATGCCTTCAAATCTAATGGGTGTTGATAACATAAATAGCTTTGATACAAGATATAATAAGTATCATATATATTGTTTGAAGTTTTTATGTATTTTTATTGAGATATATTTGACATATAACATTAGTTCATGTGTACAACATAATGATTTGCTATTTGTATATATGGCAGAATGGTCACAATAAGTCTAGTTAACATCCATTACCATATAGTTACAAATTTTTTCCTTGTGATGGATTAGAAATTTTAAAATTTACTCTTAGCAACTCCCTAATATGCTACCCAGTGTTATTAACTATAGTCACCATGCTGACTATAGTTAGTTAACTATAGTTAACTGACTATAGTTATTAACTATAGTCACCCATGACTTATTTCATAGCTGGAATTTTGTAGTTTTGACTTTCTTCACCCATTTTGCCCACCCACACACCGCCTCTGGCAACCACCAATCTGTTCTCTGCACCTATGAGCTGAATTTTTTTTTTTTTTAATTCATATACAGGTGGTATCACACGATATTTTTCTTTCTCTGATTTATTTCACCTAGCATAATGTCCTCTTCAGGGTCCATCCATGTTGCCGAAAATGGCAAGATTTCATTGTTTTATGGCTGATATTCCTCTGTGTATGTGTGTATCACGTTTTCTTTATCCATTCATCCATGGATAGACACTTAGGTTGTCTCCCTCTTGGTTATTGTAAATAACGCTGCCATGAACATGAGGGTTTATGTCTTAAGTCAGTTTTTACTTTATTTGGATAAATACCCAGAAGTACAATTTCTGAATCATATGGTAGTTCTATTTTTAATATTTTGGGGAACCTTCATCCTGTTTTCCATAGTGACTGCCCCAATTTACATTCTCACCAATAGGGCACAAGGGTTCCTGTTTCTCCACATCCTTACCAACACTTGTTACTTCTTGTCTTTTGAGAATAGCCATTCTAACAGGTGTGAGGTGATAGCTCATTGTGGTTTTAGTTTGCAGTTCCCTGATACTTAGTGATGTTGGGCAACTTATTATGAACCTGTTGGCCGTCTTTATGTCTTTTTTGGAAAAAATATCTTCATATTCTCAGGCCATTTTGTAATTGGGTTGTTTTTGTGCTATTGAGTTGTATATTTTGGATATTAACTAACCCCACATAAGATATGATTTGCAGTTTTTTTCTCCCATTCCCCAGGCTGCTTTTTCAGTTTGTTGATGGATTCCTTTGCTGTGCAGAAGCAGCTTCTCAGTTTGATGAGGTCCCACTTATTTTTGCTTTTATTGCCTTTGGTTTTGGTGTCAAATCTAAAAAATTATCACCAAGACCAATGTCAAAGAGCTTACTGCCTATGTTTTCTTCTAGGAGTTTTATGGTTTCAGGTCTTACATTCAAGCCCCTAATCCATTTTGGGTTTTATTTTTGTGTGTGGTGTAAGATAATGATCCAGTTTCATTCTTTTGCATGTGCTGTCCAGTTCTCCCAACACCATTTATTGAAGTGACTGTCCTTTCCCCATTGTGTATTCTTGGCTCCTTTGCCATAAATTAATTGACCACATATGCCTGGGTTTATCTTTGGGCTCTCTATTCTGTTTCTTAGATCTATGTGTATGTTTTTATGCCAATACAATACTGCTTTACTCTAGTTTTCTAATATAGTTTCAAATTATGGAGAATGATGTGTACAGCTTTGTTCTATCTTAAGTATTTTTATTCTAAAAATATTATGATTCAGATAAACTCAGAAGGCGAGAGTGGGAATGGTTAAAAGACTACTTAGCCATTTTCTGGAAATAAGGTAGCATTATTTGGAGTTATCTGATAGGCACGAAGTCAGAAGTCATACGTTTGAAACCTTCATCTTGCTCGTTAATTAACCTCTCTGAGCCTTTTTTGATATATCTCACAGTTACTGTTGGCATTCAGTAAGAACATACGCATTTTATAGTATGGATTCTTTGGGGGAAAAGATTGAAACTGAATGAATGAGATGAAGCATGAAAGTATTTTTTTAGAAGGGTACTGAAATAGATGGAAGGGGATTTTAGAAACCAGAAGAGCTTTAGGAACTTTGGGAATGGGAACTAGGACTGTGTGATTGGTTCAGCTGGGGTGCTCGCCCAGTGATTCCCCAGTCCAGGGAGGTGAGCACTGTGACTGGCAGCCCTATCAGAACCATGCCGTTCCCAAGAGGGTGGACTGAAGAACAGATGCCAGTTGATCTAAAAAAGAGACCACAGGGCTTCCCTGGTGGCGCAGTGGTTGAGAGTCCGCCTGCCGATGCAGGGGACCCGGGTTCGTGCCCCGGTCCGGGAAGATCCCACATGCCGCGGAGCAGCTGGGCCCATGAGCCATGGCCGCTGAGCCTGCGCGTGCGGAGCCTGTGCTCCGCAAGGGAGAGGCCACAACAGTGAGAGGCCCGTGTACCCCGAAAAAGTAAAAATAATAAAAATAAAAAAGAGACCACAAACAAAAGTGCTAAGAAATAAAAATAACATTAACAGACCGGAATGAACATTTCCCATGTTCCAGGTATTGTTTTAAGCATATTTCAGGTAGTATGTAGTACAATACTTGAAGGAAAGCCCAGGCTATGCACAAAGTATTATTAGAATGTGAGGGAGAGAGAGGGGACGTAGTGAAGTGGGCTCAGATGATGAAGAGCCTGGAATGGAAGGCTAAGATAGATTTCACTTTATTGACAAGTCAGAGCCAATGCACAGAAAATAACGCAGCCAGAGTTCTAGATTAGGATAAGTAACCTGGATTAAAGAAGGGAGAAACTGGAAGTGGGGAATGTAATAAGCCATTTTAAATGGAAGTTAAGCAAAGACCTGAATTCAGTAGGTGGTAGTGGGAATGGAAAAGAGAAAACAAACAAAAAAACACGTGTGAGGCACTGGGAAAGTAGACTTGTGAGCAAATGGTGACTTATATGGCTGAAAAATTCCCCACTGAGGGATTAAATGAATGACAGTGCAATGGCAAAGTCAGAGGGTGAGAACTTGCTGACAGGGAAAATGATGAATTTGGTTTTCACCTACTGAATTGGAGCAGGCAGTCACTTCTCAGAAGGGGATATCAAGCAGGCAATTCCAAATGTGGCACCACATCTCGTGAGGAAACTTGGGGCAGGGAAGACTCAAGCTTCTGGAGTAGATGAAATTGCGTAAGGGTAACACAGAGAAAGAAGAAATGAACACACGATAGACTGATACTTAAATGCTAATGCAAAACATGTATTAGCCAACAGGTTTATAAAATTTTAAAAATTCAAATTTATTAGGTTTTATTAGTAACACAATTACACAGACTAAAGTTCAGGAATTCATCAATTATGGTCACCAATATGTGCTTCTTGTGGCGTTTTAAACTTATTTCTCATGATTCAAATTGATTTACAGGATAGTTGAACTTCATACATAGCTTCATAATATGAATACAACAGGTCTTCCATCCATAAAATTAATGAAAACATATCTTTCATCAAAGGCACATGAATCTAAACTAAGACATTTGAAGAATTTTGTTAAGAAACTTTTGAATTTCTCTACATTACAAAGAAGAAAAACAAATCCCCAAAATGAAACGGTTATACACACACGCGCGCGCACACACACAACCACTAAGAGACTTCAACAAAATGACAGCACACAACTAAATTTAGAAACTACTTACCCATGAAGCTTACTGAAAGACTAACTTTTTCAAGATGAGTAAAAAAGAGAAGTAGGGTATGGAATGCTGTTCACTTTGCTGAAACAAGGTCATAGAGACACACCATGAATAATTAAAAATGACTATCAAAATTCAGTATCTAGCAGAAATGTAACACTTACTTGAGGATACACACAATCACTGACTTAATTAAATCCTGTTACTCATTTTCTAAGTGTAATTGCCCATTTCATTCTCAGAAATAATAGCCCAGTTTAAAAAGAAATAATACCAACTCAAGCAAGTGGAGGAAATTTGAATAATCTAAGGGAAAAAAGTAATTTTAAGATAGCGTGATAATTAAACTTGAAACTAGTTACTTACTTACATATATGAATTTAAAGCTTGCATTTTATCATCAGCAGAATATTCAAAGATCCTTCTTGTTATCTTCTAAACAAGGAGCTATCACGTATAGTAGGTACAAGGGATTTCCCAAAGGAAATACGCAAATGAATGTCTCAAAATTCATTATGCTAACTTATTTTTTACCCACAAAAATGCTCTCACACCCACCTAAACTTAGTTATAAATAAAAATGTAGTTATTTAAAGTGTATAAAAATCTGGCATCACCTTTAAGGCAATGCATGAATACCATCCAAATATTAAAATTCAAAGTGAAAACAAACCAACCGAATAAAAATTAAGAATTTATAATAAGTCTGTAAGTATATCCTCAAAAATCTGAAATTTGTTTTCAAACCAAATCTAATGTAGAATCAGATTAGCATGCATTCTTAAAAGAAAAACTGAAATGCATACAATGTTTAACTGATCCAAAGGCAGGTATACTCCTCCACTTCAAGAACGTTTCAATAAAACACATTAAATTTAAAGAACAAATCATGTTATTAAAATAGTCTGTGCAATGTTTGTACAAATATCATTTTTATGATTACAAGTATACATATAATCAAGACAAGGGCTGCAATGTGTCCTAATATTAATTATTGTTCTTAAAAATTTACAGGACATGAACATAAATAAAGCTGTTCAAAACTGGCAAACATAATAGTCTTTCAGTACAAAGTACTTAATATTTCTGTTATTTCCCAAGCCATCACGCTAAAATCATAAGTTGCCACTCTTAATACCTAAAAATAATGTGGAAAACTAAAGTCATAAATACATGTATACATACATTTGCATATTTACACTTACACAGAAGTCATCAATACACTAGAGTCCAGCTTTAACACTGCCCTTAGTTTCACACTGCAGGACCACCTCTCACATTTAAGAAAGGACCTTCCATTACTTCCAGTTAAAAAAAACAACAAAAAAACCCCAATTTTGGTCAGGTCCCAGATGCACTTCCCATATACTACATTCTGTGTTGCTGCAAGACTCTAGTGTAGAGAGATCCACATATAAGTACTCATTTGGTTTGAAAATGCATTTTACCATTTACTGCAAAACTCAGAAGAGACCACAATCTTTTAGATTATTTTTTATGATGACATCTGTTACAGCATCAAAGACAAACTGCACATTCTTGGTATCTGTGGCACATGTGAAGTGGGTGTATATTTCCTTCGTGTCCTTTCTTTTATTGAGGTCTTCAAACTGACATTGAATATATGCAGCTGCCTCTTCGTATGTGTTTGAGCCTGATATGGGAAAAGGAAAGAAACATAAGGTGAAGTTAAAATGAGTTTAAAATGAGTATACCACTAAGCAACATGGACCTTAAAATACTGAAATGTTTCTTATGTGTAAAATATGTGGACTCTATAATCATCTTTGCCCTTCGAGAATAAGATAAACTATTTCTTCTAAGTGAAAAATACCCAATGTTAATCACCCTGTAATAACTATAAGTTACCCTGAAAAACAAAAAACAAAAAGCACGGTATTCCATGTTCCCCATGATCTTTGTTCCTGCCTCAATCTCCAATTGTCAGAGTCCCTTTTTTTCTAACCCCTTATACTCTACATCCTAACATGGTGGCAGCACACTATTTCACTTCTAAGCCTAGTGGCTGGATCAAGAAATGTTGGCCGATGCTGATCGGTATTTTTTATTCCCCTTCCTATATATACATTAATTAGCATTTCTCAATTTTTGTATTCAAAAACTGTACAAGGGTCTACAATGTGGTTTATGCCTATGAGGTTACAAAAAAGTGAATGACACACTTCTGCTTTCAGGTGACTGACTGAAGACTCCTGGGTACAACACTTTGATACTTGGCAGTATCTAAAGATAATCACACATACTCTGTGACCCAAGAGTTCAGTTTTCCAGGTGTGTCCTTGACAGAACTATATACATACGTGCACCAGAAAACATATAAAGACTGTTAACAGCAGAACTTCTACTTTAGGAAACAACCCCAAAGTTCATTAACTGTAGACTGGCTACTAAATCCTGGTATATATTCATACAATGAGCTGCCATAGAGAAATGAGAATAAAAGAACTACTGCTTACACAAAATACTATAGATGAGCTTCATAAACATACTGTTGAACAAATGAAAGCAGACACAAAACAGTATATGCTGTAAACAACTGATGTTTAGAAAACAAGTTTGGAAACAATCAAAATTAATCGATGAAGACAGAAGTCATAATAGTGGTTAACTCTTTGTGTGAGTAGGTGGGTGGATGGAAGTTGATCAGTTAAGACTGGGGAGGGGCATGACAGGGTTTCTGGGGACCTGGCAATGTTCTATTTCTTGACCTGAATGGTGCATATTATCAGTGTTTTCACTTTTGAAAATTCAGTAAGTTTCACATTTGTGCTAAGTATGTGTATCTATATTACTGTATCTATATAGTTTATATATGTATACATATGATACTTCAATAAAATGTTCCTTTGAAAAAAGCTGTTAATTCTGTCTCTTGCAGTAATAACACAAAATTTTATGCCTGGATTTCTAGGTCCTGTTACCCAGCCTGCTTGGTAAAGCCATTCTAAGACCCTCTGTTCCACATCTGAGGCTCATTCCATGTCAGGAGGAAACATGTATTCAAAGTACCACCTGTGTTACTGCAGTACTTTCCCTCCCCTGTACGTCACCTGCTGTTTTCATAGCTTGGCTACTCTGAGTAATGCTGCAATGAACAGAGAGGTGCATGTATCTTTTCCAGAAAGTGTTTTCATTTTCTTCAAATAACTACCCAGAAGTGGAATTGCTGAATCATATGGTAGTTCTATTTTTAATTTATTGAGGAATCTCCATATTGTTTTCCATAATGGCTGCACCAATTTACATTCCCAGCAATAGGGTACAAGGGTTCCCGTTTTTCTACAACTTTACCAATGTTTGGCATTTCTTTATGATGACGGCCATTCTAATGGCTGTGAGGTGATAGCTCATTGTGGTTTTGATTTGCGTTTCCCTGATTGTTAGTGATGTTGAGCACCTTTTCATGGACATGTTGGCCACTGGTATGTCTTCTTTGGAAAAATGTCTATTCAGATCTTCTGCCCATTTTAATAGTGAAATTGTGTTTTTGTTACTGACTTGTATGAGTTCTTTATACAGCTGGCCCTCTGTATCTGTGGGTTTATAACCAGCAAATATGGAGGACCAACTGTACTATGCCATTTTATGTAAGGGACTTGAGCATCCATAGATTTTGGTATCTATGGCAGGTCCTGAAACCAGTCTCCCAAGGATACTGAGGGATGACTGTACATTTTGGATATTAACCCCTCATGAGATAAATGTTTGTTTTGCAAATATTTTCTCCCATTCCTTAGGCTGCATTTTTATTTTGTTGATGGTTTCCTTTGCTGTGCAGAAGCTTTTTAGTTTGATGATATCACCCAACTTGTTTATTTTTGCTTTTGTTGCCTTTGCTTTTGGTGTCAAACTTAAAAAAAAAATCACGACTGTCAAGCCTACTGCCTGTGTTTTCTTCTAGGAGTTTTATGGTTTCAGGTCTTACGTTCAAGGGTTTGAGGTCTCACGTTCGAGTCTTTAATCTGTTTGGGTTTATTTTTGTGTATGGTGGAGAAAGCAGTCCAGTTTCATTCTTTAGCATGTGGCTGTCCAGTTTTCCTAACACCATTTACTGAAGAGACTTCTTTCCCCGTTGTATATTCTTGGGTCATCTGTCATAAATTACTTGATCATATATATACATGGGTTTACTTCTGGGCTCTCTATTCTGTTCCTCAGATACATGTGTCTGTTTTTTATGCCAGTACCACACTGTTTTCATTACTCTAGCTGTGTAATATAGTTGGAAATTAGGGTGCACAGTGCCTCCAGCTTTGTTCTTCTTTCTCAAGATTGCTTTAGCTTTTGGAGTCTTTTGTGATTCAGAATTTTAGGACTACTCTCTTTCTGTGAAAAATGCCATTAGAATTTTGAAAGGGATTGCACTGACTCTGTTAGACAACTTTAGGTAGTATGGACCTTTTTAACAATATTAATATTCCTCCAATCCATGGGCATGGAATATCTTTCCATTTATGTGTATTTTCTTCAATTTCTTTCATCTATGTTTTAGTTTTCAGTGTACAGGCCTTTCCTCTCCTCGGTTAAATTTATTCCTAGAAATTTTGTTCTTTTAATGCAACCGTAAATCTGACTGTTTGTTTTTCTTATAGTTCATTACTAGTGTTACAGATTTTTGTATACTGATTTTGTATCATGCAACTTTACTAAATTCACTGATTATGCGTTTTTTTTGTGAATCTGAGATTTTCTATGTATAATACCATGTCTTGTGCAAATAGTGACAGTTTTACTTCTTGCTTTCTGATTTGGATGCCTTTTCTTTTTCTTGCTTAAACTGCAGTGGTAGGACTTGTAAATACTATGTTGAATGAAAGTGGTGAGACTGGGAAAACCTTGTCTTATTCCCTATCTTAGAGAAAAAGCTTTCAACTTTTTACTGTTGAGTATGATATCAGCTATAGGCCTTTATTATATTGAGGTACATTCCCTCTGTACCCATTTTGTAGAGTTTTTATCCTAAATGGATGTTGAATTTTGTCAAATGCTTTTTTTTTTTTTTTTTGCATCTGTTGAGATGATCGTGTGATTTTGTTTTGCAGACAGTGAACTATATACTTGCATCCTCAGAATAAATCTCACATAGTTGTGGTGTAATGATCCTTTTAATGTTTTGCTGAATTCAGTTTGCTAATATTTTGATTTTTGCATTTATGTTTATCAGGGATATTGGCCTGTAATTTTCTTTTCTTGTGGCATACTTGCCTGGTTTTGGTAACAGGGTAATGGTGGCCTGGTAAAATGAGTTATGGAAAAGGAGAGAATGCTTCCAATTTTGGAAGAGTTTAAGAAGGACTGCTAACAATTAATTCTTTTGTGTTTGGTAGAATTCACCAGTAAAGCCATCTGGTCATGAACTTTGTTTATTGGGAGGTTTCTGATTACTGGTTCAATCTCCTTACTAACATAGGCTGTTCAGATTTTCTATTTCTTCATGATTCAAACTTGGTAGGTTGTATGTTTCTATGAATTTTTCCATTTTCTCTAAGTTTTCAAAATAAGTTTAAATTTTATCTCAAGTTGCTAGCAGACAACCATATACTCTACAAATCAAATTTTAACTTATTAAATCATAATAAGGTTGGTACTCTGAAATTCTAAAGCAATAAACAATGTCTTCTTGACTCACAGAAGCTAATACAACCTCTAAATTAAAAACATGTTTTTGCCCTGAATGCATGGCTCAGTTTGCTGTATCTATTGTGGGCAGCTAGTTAGATTACTGAATCCCTAGAACTAAAAGATACATTCCTCAACTTGATTTTAAGTTCTGGAAAAGAATGACTAGGGGGAAGGTGACAGATATTTTCTAACGTGATAGAACTATCTTGAATAAAGGTTAAGTACAGATGACAATCTGGTTCAATACTGGAGAATTGGGTACCTGGTGATATAATTCAAAGGGAGATAAAGGAGATTTGAATAAAAAAAAAATAACATGAATTCAGTTGGAGTCGGACAGATTCAACAAGCAGTTGGAAATGCAAGCCTGAGTCTCAACAGAGAAATTAGAGTTGACAACTGAATTTATCATGCTGAGAATAAATATGACTATGAAAGAATGGAGTGCTAGAAGATTGTAAGACTACAGATGGAATCTGGTGAAATGCCAACATGTAAATGGATAAAAAGAGGAGAAGACAGGAGCAGAGAGAGGTAGGGGATAAACCAAGTGAGTAGTTTGGAGGCTACAATGGGTTCTCCTATAGCAAACATAGCCACAGGGATTAAGAGTTGAGGGTGCAACAAGAGGTGACAGCATCAATACTTAGCGCGTGCAATGAAGTTTTTAATTTTAGTCTTAACACTGGGACTATGAAAGATTATGTAACACTCTCCTTGCTCACAGAGCCTGAGATCAGTGATTCTTATTAACTTGACAACATACGAGAAACATTTTGAACACAATGCATACCTGGCAAAAAAAAGAGCTAACAACTATCTTCTTGGCTGCTCTAAAAATCCCTATAAGTATGTAATATTTGAGGATTGATTCGGGTCCTCTGATAATATTAGCACAAAAGGGCTACTTCACAATAGAAAATGACAAAGATGAACTGAAAGAAAGAGGAAAGTAAAGGCCAAACGGAGCCACCTTGATTCTGGGTAACTTCAATCTTGGAACTAGAACTA